CTGAACCAGCAGCTCACATTTGTATCTTCATCTAGCAGAGGGGAATATCTGGCCTTTTTACTGCTTGGAACTAGAGCAGGGTTTTACACCTGATGCTCAAAGTCCTGGGGACCCCTAAAAAGCATGAGTAGCCAGGTCATCTGCTCCATCTTGTCCAAAGATGTTTACCAGCCGTCCCCACTGTTGCCACACTGGATATTTCAGCCTTGCCTCAACTGGAAGAGATCCCCCTGCAGCATCCTCAAGGAGATCTGCAGAGCCTCCGATCTTTCTGGGAGAGCAGTGCAAGCCAGTCTGGCTCCAGGCAGTGTCCAAATTGCACAATGTGGTCTTGGTACTTGTGAAGCGGAGCCTATTTTCACAATAACTCATGTGTGGATGATTAAATAGCCAGGGGGGGAAAAAGCAGAAACAAATATTTTCTTTTCAGTGGGTGAAGAAAGCATAACAAATAACGACTGAAGGCAAAGTGGAGCACCTAAACCTAGTTTCCTGTCCAGAGCAAAGAGTGATTTCCTACTTAAAAGCTGATTAATCCAAATGCTTTTCAATTTACAAGGCAGAGATCAATCAATAATTATCCCATTTAATCCCAACATAAATCCTTTTATTTTTTCTTTTTAATTAAAAGCAGCCAAGCACTACGGGCTGGAATACACTAAACTGCATTAACCCCTACCACCCTGTGGGTAGACATGGGCTGTAAATGGTGACATATGTTATTACTGTCCTTTCGTTGCTGGGTTTATTGGCCACTTTGTTTATAACAAATTGAGTTTGTGGATATCTGGCAAACATCAGGTAGATTTGATCTGTCCTTCCGAGGGAGAGGTGGCTCTCAGACTAGATTCGACACCTCATTTGGCAGGAGATTTGGAGAAAGGGAACTCCACCATCCTCCTCCAGGCAGGCACTGGGTCTAGGACAGAAATGCACCCCCTTTACAGCCTGGTTTCCCTTACCTGTGGATGCTTTTTGACCTGGCTCTCATTTGGCTGGCACACCGCGAATCATGAATCCAATCCTGGTTTGAGAATTACAGGGAGATGTACCTAATATCTACATCTTGGGTTAAAGTCTTTTTAGTTTCTTGACTAGAAATTAGCCATCTTACATTATTTAATTAATTAGATCCATAATTATAAATCTGATGGAATATCCCCTATTCTTTCTCAGTTATCATAACCTGGCACAGCCAATCCTAAGGGACAGCCGGTGGGATTATACAGTGGCGTCCTTGCCCTCGGTACTAATCTGGTGGTTGCATCAGAAGACTTGTTTGCAGAAAATTCTCAGCCAACTTGGTTACACCCCTCTTCTAGTTATTAAGTGAAGATGCACACTTTCTTCTCAGTCTCCATTAAATACTTACTCCATGAATTGCTACCACTTGATGTGGGAGATTCATTTCCATTTAAAAAAAAAAAAAAAAAAAAAAAAGCTGGGGTGCAGTAGAGCTGTGCAAAGCTTCGGGTAGTCATTAAACTTGGAGGAGATTCGGCTCAATTTGGTGGCCGAATCTCTGAATCGGCATGGAATCAGGGGACCAATTAAAAGTTGCAAATTGATTCAAGGCTCTCAAAATGTTCAGAAAAGATTCGGAGAGCTTTGATGCAGGCAGTCCCCGGTGACTGCAGCAGGGAGCTGCAACCAGACTCGGAGCTTGTAATTAAAGAAAAGCCCTGGTGCTCACCACGTGGTGCCAGGTGGGGAGTGATCCCTGCTGCCCCCCTGATGCCCCTCCTCCATAGCTGCCCTGCCTGTCACGGCTCCAGCCCTTTTTAAGGGGTCGGGGGGGAAAAAACAACAGAGAAAAGCCCTGGGACTTGCCAGCTCCTGCAGCAGCCTCAGGGCTTTGTGGGGCTCTTGCAGAGCCCCCAACATGGCGCAGGGCAGTGGGGATCACCCCCCACCGGGCAGGAACAGTGAATGTGGGGTTTTTCTCATTTTTCGTTCTTTGGGGGGTTTTTTGTTTTGTTTTTTTTCTTAAGGGGCACCATGGTGGGGCTGGGGGGTCAGGGGGCTCATGCAGAGCCCCCTATGCAGTGGGGGGCAGTGGGGATTGCTCCCTGCACAGCAGCACCCGCTGAGTTGGGGCTTTTTTCTTTTCCAAGTGCCAGGTGCTGGGGCGGGCAGGGCAGCCATTGCCGGGATGGGTCTGACTGATTCCGAGATTTGGCAGCAGCCGAATCTCTGGATCAGATTTGGCCGAATTGATTCGGGACAGCGATTTGACTCGCTGTGCCCCAAATCGGCCAAATTCAAAGTGAATACTAGCCACTTCGCGCAGGCCTAGGTTACAGTGGCAGCTGAACCCTCTTTCTGGAGATGAACATACAGATTTCAACACATAGCTAAACCTCATCTCCTACAAGCCTCTCTATGGACTTTATGTGAAGGTTGATGGGGAAAACAGCGGTGCTTTAAATGAAGTGCTGACAGGATTTGCCCCAAAGCCCAACGGATTAAGAGAGATGTGTTTTCTCTTTCCTTTGTATCTGTAAAAGGAAGGATATTGTAAACTGTGGCCAGTCATGCTAGATGTCAACTGATGCAAGCATGACCAAAACATAAGACACTTCCCATCGCTTTCCAGAAGGCTCTAAATGATGCAGTTGCAATTTGTTTTGCCCTAATTTGACAGCCTTTTTAAGTGCTGCTAAGTCTTAAAGAGGTTGTTTTGTTAGGCTAAGAAAAGCCTGTGCAATGTTGTCCTGCTGCAGTAATGTCTTTGCTGGCAACCATGGAAGAGGGAGCTTCCATTTCAATGGCTTATTCTTTCCGGGCCTGCTGCTCTGCGCTGTGGTGATAGAATTTAGATGCCTCTTGAAATGGGACTGCTTTTAAAAGATTTGTCTTTTCTGGCAACTGCTCTTTAAGAGTCATTTGAGTAAGGTAGAGATGACATATGTATCAAAATATTACTACTGATTTGTATTACCACGGTGCCTAAGAGCCCCAGTAACTTAAAATTCCTTAGAAAGTCAGCAACTTAATATCTGTTGACCTTGATGAAAGTGAAATTTCTATTAATGTTTGTTTCCAACATAGTAAATAGAGCAGTGATCTCCATTAAACTAAAAGCTTTGAGATTCACCCAGGAAAAGATGCCTGGAAGTACATGTGGGGAGGACAATATCATTCTTGAAGCAAGGTCATTTTATATAGAAACATCTTAGCAACCTCGTGTGTGATGTGTACAATTCTCAAGCCAGGATTGGATTCCTGATTTGCACGTATGCCAGCCAAGACGACAAAGCTTGCAAAAGTGGAGGAACCAGGCTGTGAGGGGGTGCATTTCTCTAGTCCCGAGGGGAAGGGGAAGGGGAAGTTGTCTGTCTGCCTCCAGGGTTCTGCTGCTGGAAGGAAGTTGGAGCTATGTACAACCATGGGGTTTTGGGCATGGGTGCTGTTGGCTCTTGATTTTGGACCCGGATGCCTTGTTCTGGGGTGGACCCAACCCTCAGACAGACCACGACCTTTCTATTCAATAATAGACAAATTTAGGTCTGAGCATTGAGTCTACCCACCCCCACCCCAAAACAAGGCATCTGGGTCCTAAATCCAGAGCCAACAGGTGCAAGAACCTTTAAAGTGGGAGAGAGTGACTTATTTTTTATTTTACTTTTTTCTTCCAAAGTGCCAGTCCTGCACTCTCTGGAAATGGGCTTCTGAAAAACATCAAGTTTGGCACTTCAAAATTTAAAGTCACTTGTGGAAGATTTTAGGCCGAGGTATCATGTGGTCCCTTGTGTTTTAGCTGTTCTCTAGCATATTGAGGTAGCTGCTGTTGCCTTCTGGCAATCCTGCGACCTGACAATGTAATAAACCCATCCCCGTTACACACTGCAACGTCTGGACTTGATGTTGTTTATTAAGAGTCTTCACAAGTGAAAATTACTTCCATAACCTTAATCTATTGTGTTGCACGCAGGGTCTGAGCTGCCTCTCGTGTACGGGTACGCATTTGCTGCTTAGCTCTGCGAATCGGGTACTGTGCTGGCTTCTTGATGCAAATGTTTCTCTATGTGGTGCTTGTTAGCATGCGCTCTGATGAAAGAGACTTTGGTATTTGACTTTTTAATAAGTATCATCTTCCTGAGGGGCATTTAAATATGCAAAACAGCATACATGTCTCGTGAAATGGTGGGGAAGGTCAGTATTTTGAACAACTGAGATTTGGTCAATGATGGAAGTAGCAGGGGTGGGACAAGGCTACAGCAGAGCAGGATCTGGCTCCACTCGCCATAAAATGTGACTGACTTCATGCCATGTCTTCCCCAGGGTTCAGATTTTATTAAGCAGAGCTGAGAAGTATTCTGCCTATCCTCCCACCATGGGATGCAGAGGGTTAAATAAAATGCTGGAAGATACCACAGCTCCTCTAGACTAAAAGGGGAGCTGGGTTGAGCTGGTTTGTGGCATACCTGAACTGGAGTGAACAAAGGAGCAACCCTGCTGTCCTTCCACATCTGACTTAATTTTGAAGGCAAACTTTCTGCAAGCACTGTGGTCATGTTGGAGGCATGCTGGACATAAAGGCCAGGGCAGAGAAGCGAACTATCTACCAGAAATGTTGCACCTGTGACGGTACATAACTAAGGAGCAGCTACATGCATCAGATGTACTTCCTTTGGGATGTATTTTCTTTACACTGGAAACAATTTGGAGCAAAGCTTGTGTCTTGCAAGACTGGGACTCCATATGTTAATTAAAGCCAGCCGGTCTTTTGGGAAGAATCGCTTGCTATGGGAAAAGACTCTAAATCCTTTATAGAAGCTGTCTTGTAATAATCAAAATGTAAGAGTTAGCACACTGCCGCTTGGTATCCCTGTTGACTTCCTATGCAGGCACCAGAAAGCGGCTTTCGTGGCTCTTTTATCTCGGGCATATTTTGTGGGAAGGGGAAGGGAGCTGTTCATAGCGAGGTGGTTATGAGAGACTCCCCTGTCACTTCAATCACGCAGCGGCCTGTTTCTCTTCCATCGTTTCCTCCTCAGATCACTAATGCTCTGGGATTAGCGTTTCTGCCGACTCACTGCCTGGCTCTGACGTGTCCCCGCGATCGGCTGCAGCTGCTCCCGTCACACAAGACACGCCGTGAACTCGTTAGCTGTTATCGCCACTGCGGCTCTTAGCGTGCAAGCAAAGGAGACTGACCTCGGCAATGGAGGCATTTGCATTTCTCCCAAGTCTTCTGGGTCTCTGTCGCATAGGACTTGAGTTAAAGGAATCGGGGCAAGGAGGAGTTGGCAGCGCCCCACGATGTGAACTGAAGTTCTTTTATTAAGGAAGGAAAAACTAGGTTTCCAGTGCATATTCTACACTCCATCAAGGTAATACTAAACTGATCCACATACAATAGGAGCCCCTCCTACTAGTCCATTCATCGCTGTGACCAACAGCTGGCACGTGTTTGTTCACTTATCCCGTTACTAAGAGAGAAGTGGGCACAGCAGAGTGTTTTGTTCTGAATTTATTCTTTTATCCACATCCTGTGTCAACATGCTCTTGTTGCTGTGTGCACAGCCAGGTCACAGAAACGTGCCTTACGCTTGGAGCAGATGGGTGATGCGATCTGCAGCAGCCTTGTAGTTCGTGAGTAGGGACCTACCAAAATCGCGGCAGAAGCGTGCTGCGCAGCGGCTCCTTTAATCTTGCTTATTTTGCTGTTCGCCCCCCCCACTGCCGCCCTCCAGCCCTGATTGGCAAAGGAGCCCCAGTGGCCTTGCTCCTTGGTGCTGATTTGCCTGGGAGGCAAAAACCATGCTGTCAAATATGCTGTGGTTTTTGCCTTCCAATGGTGATTTGGCTGGGAGGCAAAAACCCTGGCATATTTTAAAATGCATTTTCCCCCCCCTCCTCCCCCCCCAGATGATCAGCAGGGCTGCTGGGACCCCTCCAGTGGGTGAGGGACAGGGCCAGAGTGACACATCTGGTGAAATAAGTAAAATTAAAAGGAGCTGCTATGCAGGTCCCTATTCATGGGCTTGTTAGTTTGGCAATCTTGAGCTGGCTGCTGAGAAAGCAGTCTCTTGCATCAAACTTTTTCCTTACTGTGCTGGCTGACCATGTGGAAATCCAGGACATCTGGGGCTGTGCCCCCTATCCCTTCACCTACCTTCTTATAAGTTGGCAGTGGTTGGGCTACATGCCCGTGCATTTCCAGGACGCGCGTTATAATTCTCAACACCCAACCAGGACCAGCCTCTGAAAATCCAGGGTTGCCCCAGCTTAAATAGGACATATGGTCACCCTATTACTGTGGGAAAGTTCTGTTTTTCCAGAAGAGTGGAGCTATAGAGCAGTCTCCAATCCTGGAGCTTTAGGCCACATGCGTGCACAGCAGCCAGTGTTGCAAGGACACTCAACAGCGTTCTGCATCAGCTGGTTTCCTAAGTGCTAAAAGCTTCATGCCTGGGTGTGTTGTATTTCTGTGGGCCAGCTGAGAGATCAGGTCAGGACTGAGAACCTGCTACCACTACGACCATAAGCAGTGCAATCTGTACTGGTCAATGCCAAGTGCCAGGCGGTAGTTAATTAACCTGGCAACCTCAGGAAGTGCCAATGGCTTTGGGTGGAAGAGTGTTTGAGGAGGGTGGTGGAACTGTTGATGGAGGAAATGCCATCAAAAGAAGGATAAGCATAGTCACTCGGTGATTTTTGTTTGTTTGTTTGCCAACAGTATCCACACAGGGCAGACTGGGCTCTTTAGACATGACTGACGGCCAATCTAGGAGTGGAGCCCCAAAAGGCAGGCAGATGGAAAACCTCCTCTGCACTGGCAACTCCTGCAGCATAGCTGGTTCCAAATGTATCAACTTCAACCCTTCCTTTGGACCAAACCAGTGAGGCCAAGAGGGGGATGCTGATACAGGGGCAAAGCAGCATCTCCATATCAACTGTCCAGGCTATTACAGCCACACCACATGGAGAGGATGCTCCATCCTTCCTGGCAGCATGGACACAACACAGAAGGTGGCAGTTACAGACCATAAGTTGTCACGTGATCGGCGTAGAGCAGTGATTCCCAACCTTTTTTTTTACCGTGGCCTGGCGGAAACGTGATGGGGCATGCCTGTCACCCTAGGGCTCCCCTGTCACCTGGTTTTAACTCCAGAGGCTCATTTGGAAGCTGCTCAGCTTGGCAGACAGACAGGGGTCCAAGCAGGGGGCTTGTGCCACAACCCTGCAGCCAACCTGCTACAACCTGGTACCAGGCTGCGGCCTGTTGGTTGGGAACCTCTGGCATAGAGGAGAGAGCCATGGGTTACTTTTGATGGTGGGGGGAATCCTCGCATCCCACTGGTCAGCTGCTGCCCACCATAATGCCAGGAAGCCCCCAGTCAGTTAGGTGCTGACCCACCGTAGTTGGACTGCCTCACTGGGTGCATGGAGTGAGGCCAACAGCTTAAAAGCAGATGGAAACCTCACACCTAGAGAAGGTAAAAGTGATTGAAAAAAATAATCTTCACAGCGTCAGTTTTGCTCAGTAACAAGTTGGTAAAGCCTATAGAAACACTCATTGGAAAGTCAGAGTACATCATCTCACTTAGACTTCAGACTACCATCAGTTCTGTGAACATCATCAGTGTTTATGCACCAACACTCAACTCCAGCCCCAAGGAGAAGGATAAATGTTACAACACTCTGCACCAGGCTGTCAAAGAATACCATTAACCAAGTGACTATTCCTCCTTGGAGACTTCAGTGCGAGGGTTGGTGTAAACAACCAACGGCCAGATTGCTTAGGACGCTTTGGCATCAGCAAGATGAATGAAAATGGCCAACAACTTACTGAATTCTGCATCCAAACCAACTCTGCGTTACCAATTCATATTTTTCTGGAAAAGATCACCACAGTGTCATGGTGACATCCACGATCAGGCCACTGGCGCCGACTAGATCTTATTATTGTTAGGAGGAAAGACCTACCTTCAGTGCAGAAGACCGGCATGTTCCACAATGCCGATTTGTGACACCAACCACTCCCTGATCATTTGCAAGTCAAGATTACAGCCAAGCAACTACATAGAGGAAATCCTAGGAGCAAGCCCAAAATCAATACTGCTGACACCAAGAACCAGAGGAAGTGCTAAGAGTTTGTGAAGGTTTTCAAAACCTGCATGTTTGGGAAGTCACTACCAGAAAAAGCAGAGGAAATTTGGGAAGGCTTAAGAGCTGCAATCTATGAAATGGCTAAAGCTGCATTTGTTAAGTCTTATCAGTTCCTTGCATGACTACATGAAAGCAGCTGTTCAGCTTGATGGGTCCACTCTGGACAGCTTTGAGATAAAAAGCAGAGTGAAACAAGGCTGTGTTCTTGCCCCAATGCTCTTTGGCGTCGTCTTCTCCGTACTCCCGAGCAGTGTGTTTTTTTTTTTTTTAAAGACGCGGGAGGTGGAGCGTGCCTTCACAAGATTGGATGGGAAACTCTTCAACCTGTCACAACTCAAGGCAAAGGCTAAAGTTAGAAAGATGCTTATTGGGAAGCTTTTATTAGCTGATGATGCTGCCCTTACAGCACATGATGAAGACCTACTACAGGAACTCATGGATCGCCTTTCAAGAGATTGCTGTATCTATCATAATAAAGAAAACGGCTGTACTAGGACCGGGAGCTCCACAGGATCCATCGATTGCCCTTGATGAAAATGAGCTAGTAGTAGTCCAAAAGTTCAGCTGCCTAGGTTCTCCAATGACCCCCAACTTCTCACTGGATGAAGAACTTAATGTTCGCATCAGGCTGCCACCACCTTCAGCAGACTAACTAAAAGAGCGTGGAATAACTCGAAGCTTACCATCAAAACCAAAATGCTAGTATACAAAGCTTTTATACTCGGCACTCTCATGTATGGTGGAGAAAAACTTATGCACATCAAGAGATGTGGTTAAACAGCTTCCACCTGTGCCGTTTACACTGCATACTCTATCTTGCCATTTGATGTTAAGTTACCAATTCAGAGGTTCCTCAAAGGACAAATTTACCAAGCATGACAGCCCTGCTCAGGCAGAGATGACTGAGCTGGCTAGGCCGTCTGAGTAGATTGGAAGATGGACATATAGCATATCCTTTGGTATACGGGGAATTATCAGAGAGAACAAATGCAAAAGGCCACCCCGAGCTTTGCTATAAAGACACGTGCAAGTGAGATATGAAGGCATTTGGAATTGATCCTGGCCAATGGGAAACCTTGGCAAGCAATTGGACAAGTGTTGTCACCATCTCCACCACAACAGAGTCTATGATGGGAATTGGCTCTAACAGCTTGAAGAGAAGAGTCTGTAGGAAGCAAGCAGCTCTCAAACCACACAACTGCAACATACTGTCATGACCCAAAAGGCATGATTGTGTGTGCGCTTCGGCACCAGAATTATCCCCGCCAAGTTGCAGAGCATTGCACGGGAGAGTTTCCTGTAGCAAGAGGAAACCCCGGTGCAGGGACGCGTTTCCCGCCTTTTCTGCAGCTTCTTTTGCAGAGTGCATTGCTCATGTTGCAAGAGGAATGCACGGTGCAAAAGAGTTCCCGCCACCGGTATGCAAATTTGTTCCCCGTGATTGTCTAGTGCTAAATTATTCACACGTGGTGACTAATGATTGGCCTATTAGCCGTATAAGAGGCTTGAGCAGTTTCTGCCAAAGCCATAGAGGACTCCACATCCATCTCGTGGGGACTCTGGGTACACGGCAGGGTAATAGAAACCCTGTGTGAGATCCAGAGGAGCGTGGCAGCCTGATCCACCGCCCACCTCTTCCCGTCTTCGAACGCGACTTTTATAAGACGTATTTACGATTTCTATTTTGGTGGCTCGTTCACCCCGAGCATCCGGAGCTCTGCACCGTGGAGCCTAGCAACCTCCACGAGACCGTCTGTGTTGTCTGTCTGTAACTGCAACTCAATCAAGCTTTCCAGCCTGCACCACTGCCATCTCGGTGTAAGTAAACAATCTTTAAAACTACCACTACGCGTTTGTGCCTAATTCCAGCTCGAAGGCCTTCCCTCTCCACCCCGGTGTGCCCGGGCGGCTGGCCACAGCCCGCGTGCAGCGCGAAAAGGGCTCGGGTCGCTCCCGGCCCACACACATACATTTGCAACCACTGCCACAGATCATGCAAATTTTGGATTGGACTATCCAGTCACGCAAGACGCTGCAAACCATCTACACCATAGGCTGTGATATCTAGTCTCTCGCAGACAAAAGGATGCCAATAATAACTAGCTGAGAGATGATGAAGTTCAAACCCTGCCTCTTTGAAACTCCCATTGGTTTTCCTTCCTCCCCCTCCCCCCAGGGCCAAGACCTGGCCCTAAATAGTTGAAGTTTGAGTTTGCATTACAGTTTGTAGCAAATCTTGAATCCCACCCCCAATCGCCCTTGAAGGAGGGAAAAAAGGTGGAACAAATATTAGCCACTCTCTTCTGGGCAATATCTCCAGCTGATGTAAATTGGTGTGGCTCTGAAAACAAAGCTGTGCCAGTTTATACCAGGTGATGATCTGATCTGTGAAGGGAAGCACAAAAGTAAATGGGCAGTAAGTACTAACAACCACTTCCAGGATCCCTTGATTTAAACTCTGTTAGGCCTGAGTGAAGAGCTTACTAAATGTCCCTCCAATTGCCAGTTACTTTTGCAGGGGCTGGTCTGTAACACCTTCCGACTAGAGAGGGCCCTGCCCATGCTTATTGACAGACAGCCTAATTATCCTACTGAGAACAGTCGGTGACTGCTTCACCCTCTTTCCCAACAAGCAGGTAACTAAAAAAACTGGGAAAGACTACTGGGAAAGCCAGTCTCCTAAATGAGAAGTTCCCAAATTTAGTATTAAAACCTGGTGCCATATTGTGCCTTTTCCTTCTCTTCAAAGAATATGATCATGGAAGTTCCTTGCAGAAACTCTTTCCAATACATTAAAGCCTTACAGTTTGCAGCCTCACTGAGGCTAGGTACAGACATCCAAAAAGCCTGAGGCTGAATCTATATCAGTTGCATGGTTTACTGTAAGCAGCATAGTTTAGATCCATAGTGAACTGAACATGCATCTGCTCTTTGGGGGTGGAGGGTGTAAATCTCAGACTGGTTTAAAAATGGCAGAGCCTGGTCTATGTGTACTGAACTTCTGTTCTGTTACTGGTATAGGTGTGTTTCTGATCGCTTATACCAGTAACATGTAAAGCCTGTACTTGGCCTGAATAATAAATCACTAAAACTAGTATTTTGAAGATTGCATTAGGAGAGGCATCAAAGTCAGTAGAGTGCCTGTTAATGCAGGCACTACCTGCATTAATATTGTTCTACCTCAGTTTTCCCGTTTTCTCAATTTTGTGCGTGTTAACTTCTTTAGTGTTTTCACTTAAGGAAAACATAATCATTCTTAATATGTGCACCAGCTACCCAGCAAAGACTTAATCATAAGCTGGTTGGTGTATAATGGTATAAACTACTAATAGTTTCACTTCATGTAATTTTACCACGCCATCTTCTCTCTCCTCCACATGTTGTCAGTTGTAAGTAAAGGTTCATTTGGAAACACCTGCAAAACACAGTGTTATCTTATTTTGATTTTTGCCTCTTGCCCCGAGAGCGATTTAAAGTTTTGGGGGTTTTTTGGAATTTACTTTCTTCTCCTGTGGACGTGCAGCCACTTCTGCGGTGGAGCTTGGTGACTAGCACAACTCCCACAACAGCTGAGGATAGGAAGGAGAAGCACATTAGTGCAGGCAATAATTCAGGAACAAAGTGTAATGCTAGATGTGTGGGGAGAAGATGTGTGATGCCCAGTGCTAAGAGTGATTTGAGCCTTCTCTCGCTCTCAAATAATTTTCAACACTCATCCCCACCATTATTTCCAAGACACAGCCTTTTTTGTTCCCTTGAAAAGGGACAGGCTTGGTTGTCCATTTACATCAGTGTAAATCTAGAGCAGGGGTCAGCAACTCTGCCTGCTCTCTTACGATCCTCTTGGTTCTCCTTACTGTCATGACTAAATTTAGCCTCTCCCAGGTATCGCTCGCCATGTCTTCTGGGTCGCGCACCGTTTCGGTGGAGGCTGCACTGGGGGCACAAGGAAGCAGCCCTCTGAACACAGCAGGGATGTTTGAGACAGAAGCAGGGGATCAGTGGCTAAGCTGGGAGCTGCAGCTTTCCATTAGTAAAAGATTGCTGGCCCCTGATCTAGAGAAACAGGACCGCATCTGGATGCATGCCTGCATGGCTGAGAGCAGAATCTCTCCTTCTCTTTTGCTCTCTATTTCAGGCAAAGGTATGCTGTAAAAATGCTTCAGGATGCATACTTGACCTGACACCCTGCAACGGCCCTATTAAAGCAACTCTGATGTCAAATGCCTGTCTGTAGGATGCAGATGTCAAGTTGTTCCTTGATATAATATACTGCCAGGCTTCCTAAGCATCGCATCAATCCATAGAGGCGCGTCGGGATGATAAAGCTGCGCACGTGTCATTCAAGATTCATTGGTGAGAAAGTTATGAAAATGTTCTGATTGTGATCGGTGGCTAAGCCTGTATGACAGGAGGAGCTTGGCTGTCCTGACCTTTCATTAGGGGCTGGCCCTGCTGCGATAGTAGGATATTCTTTCTACAGCAGGTTTTTGGGAAGCAAAGAGAAGTCTCACCTGTTCTATGTCAGTAGGAAATAATTTCCTGCCCCCTCATAGCGAGAACCTATTGTATGAAAGGGTAATTCCTCTTGTCTGTGCTTAAAACTGCTGTGCTGCTTGCTTTATTTGCATCGGGTAAAACGTAAGGTGGCAGCCCATCAGAAATGGGCCTCTACAATGCAAGCCAAAATGCAGAACTCTGGTTCCTCGAGCAGAGGCTGGCTCCGATGACACTGGGGCAGGGCAAGAAGGCACATGGGACTGTTCCCAGGCAAGGACCATAAACATCATGATGCTTATGGGAGCACAGGGATGTTTCCTACATAGCCTTTGGAGAACACTAAGCAACCTAACAGGAGTGAGGAGGTAGGAGCCAGAGGACGAAAGTTGAGGTTTTGACTCTTATGTAGTAGGCCAGATGCAATTGGAGGGTAAAGGCTGCATCATCCTAAAGGATCTCGTCTCTAAAGCATAAAACAATCCTCCTCCCCTCCCGGGGAGCTCTCAATGCTACCTTCTAGTTAGAACAGTGCCCAGCTGGCATAGATAGGGCACTTTTTATCTGAAACGCTTGGCATCATGAATATACAGCTAATTAGAGCTGGTCATTGCAGCATGCTTGCACTGATTTAAATAAGTCTTCACAAAAAGTTAAATCGGTGCAGCCCTCGAGTGAGGATGGCATTCTGTAGCTATTGGTTATTGTTTACCAGCTTGTTTTGGAAACGAGCTATACTGATAAATGCCTTCGTGTTGATGTGAGTACACGGGTCTGATCCAGCGTGGCAGGTCCTCGGGGCTGTCTTTGACAGTGGACAATACCAGATGCTTCAGAGGAAGATACGAGAGTCGTGTGATGGGCAGGCATAGCTGGGCAGTTTGGGATGTTCCTCAGTATTGCTCTTAAATC